ACAACTCTTGAGATTTCATTGGGACAATTATATATTTTTTTGTTCAATCCACATAAATTTGTAAAAAATGTTAAGTTAACTTAATCGATTTGTGTTGAGACAACATGAACGAATTGTGTGGAACCCTGCATTTTTTACAGTGTAATTAGGCAAGTTATTGTATAATGATGGTTTGTTCTGTAGACTATCAAAAAAAAAAAAAAATAGCTTAAAGGGGCTAATAATATTGATCTTAAAATGTTTTTTTTTTTTTTTTTAATTTTAAACTGATTTAATTCTAGCTGAAATAAAACAAATAAGGCTTTCTCCAAAAAAAAAAAATATTATTAGACATATTGTGAAAATTTCTTTGCTTGGTTAAACATAATTTGGGAAACATAAAAAATTTAATAAATTCAAAGGGGGCTAATAATTCTGACTTCAACTGTATATTTCAGGAGATAGTTTATGCAAAATTGTACATTTCCCTAATATTTGCAGACATTCAAGCGGTTCTAAACTTTTATAAATTACTTTCTTTTGTTGAACACAAATCATCATCTTAGAATTATAAGGTTCTATCTGACATTTTTGTCAAAATTGAGTTATTGACATATTCTTATTAAATGACAACTTATTTACATTATAGAATGTTTTTTATAAGTTATATAAATAAGTTATATATTTTAAGACTTTTATTTAAAAAAAAAAAGTTCCACACATACTGTTTCCTTTATGGAATGCAAAAACTGTAAACCTCAATATCTCAAAATCATTCAGAACGCAGATAGAACCTTATAATTCCAAGGTGACAAAATTAAGATATTTTGAAGTATGATGAGAAAGAAAACAGCATCGGTATTGAAACTCTAACAGGTTTAGAACAAGTAGAGGATGAGTAAATGATAACAGAATTTGTATATAATTTCACATCTAGGTCCCATGAAGTCCTTTGAAATGTGCATTTTTATTCAGTGTTTGACATAATCTTAACCGAGTAATGAAGTTTGCCCTGCGTGCTCACAGTTTTTAAAGAAACTTTTTTGGTGTGTTAATTGTCAGTACTATTGTTTAAAAAGGTCATGATTTGCACTCATCAAATAATTTTACTTTTACATTCTTCGGGTGATACAAAACACAAATGTTTTGCCACAATGTCTTCCTCAGTGTGAGACACAATCCTCTCACTACACCCTTTTATCCTATAATAAATCACATTGCGTCATTGGTTAGAGGGCCACTCGATGATTAAAAAACTATTTCATTTTCATTTCATTATTCCATACTTAACCACACAAGGATTGTTTACCTTTATATTTAAAACATTATTTCACTATATTTAAAACATTATTTCACCTGGAGCTCAGCTCTGCCCAAGTGGCTCTGCAGTGAGTACCACTTGGGACATTGACAGTGTAGCTCCTCCCCTTTTTCAAAAACTCCCTATAGCGTTTTGTTTTACCATTGCTCTGCCAGTGACAGTGGTTGAGCTCAAATGCATGAAATGAAAAGCAAATGAGAAGCGTCTTGAAGGGGGCGGAGCATACTGGAGAAAACTTGATTGGTTATGAAAACCGTTGATCCATTTAGGCAGAAGTGAAACCTACAAGCTTTATCTGTTTATATTTGTTTTATATATTTGAAATGTAAATTGTGTTACTGTTTTGGAGCACACTAACATATAGATATCCTAAAAACTAACAATACTGATACTAACATCTAAAAAACTTGATTTTAATTTCAAGGGACCTTTGAACTATCTCTTTGCATGTGTAACTTTATACTTTTTTAAAGAAAAATCTTCTAAGGATGATATTTGTTCTTTTTTCTTATATTTAATTGCACACTGAGATGTTGTAATGCCCTTCTTAGTCCAATTTGGATTGCAAATTGGACAAAATGCACCAAATGATGATCACAGTACAAACAAGTCAGAACTCATTCATTCATTCATTTTCCTGTCGGCTTAGTCCCTTTATTAATCCGGGGTCACCACAGCAGAATGAACCGCCAACTTATCCAGCAAGTTTTTACGCAGCGGATGCCCTTCCAGCCGCAACCAATCTCTGGGAAACCTCCACACACAAATTCACACACACACTCATACACTACGGACAATTTAGCCTACCCAATTCACCTGTACCGCATGTCTTTGGACTGTGGGGGAAACTGGAGCACCCGGAGGAAACCCACGAGAAGGCAGGAAGAACATGCAAACTCCACACAGAAACGCCAACTGAGCCAAGGTTCGAACCAGCGACCTTCTTGCTGTGAGGCGACAGCACTACTGCGCCACTACCTCTCCCCCAAGTCAGAACTATAACGCTATAAGAAAGAAAATAATGAACCTAGATCATTTGTCCTTGATTAGCTCAGCTTCTCTCCAGTGACATTTTCCTAAATTAAATCTATTATACTGTGCACAGCATCACTAAACCGTTGAGAATTATTTAATTACAGTGAATTTTGTTTTTATAAGCTAACACTTGCTGCTAATTACAAACTAGCTAGCAAGTTAGTCTTACAGAGTTCCTGTATGAATGTTATTATGAAGATTTATTACTCACCGATGTCGAAGCTCTTCCAGGTCATCATGTAATGACAGGACAGAACACGTGCTATTAAATAAGTTCTTGTGCAGCCTTTGTTGGAAAAAGGCAGTATGTTCACTCAGGCTTCTTTAAAATATTTTATATAAGATTTATCAGGGTTAACAGCTGAACAAACTGTCAACTATTCCCGCGTATGTTTATGCAGTGGATGCTCTTACAGTCGCAATCCAGTCCTGGGAAACACCCATACACTAAACCGGAGCACCCGGTGGAAACCCACAAAAACACGAGGAGAACATCTAAACTGGCCAAGCTGAGACTTGAACCAGCAACCTTCTTGCAGTGAGGCAACAGTGCTACCCACTGAGCCACTGTGCTGCCCGCTATATATTATAATTCATACTAAATTACTCTTTTACAAAAAGATGAAACACTACACCTTTGTTGAGGTTAAATCAAAATGAATGAACAAATTAGCTTTGCAGCTTTTCTTCCTAAAATGAAAGAATGAAAAGAGTCATTAATTTGTGACAATTTTAAAACCAATGAATGAAATAGTAAACTGTGGCTAAACCATTTACTAAACCAACAGAACAAATATCTTAAATCATGGCCACTGTATATCCGCATATGTGCAGAGCTATAAAAATGACCAGCAACATGGATACATCATTTATATTTTTGCCTCCATGGCCCATAAAAAATCATTTTAATATTATAATATCATATATCAGTATGACCAAAGTCCTCATGACAGTATAAAGATAAATCTGAGACAGGACTTCCAGTCAGTTGTATAACTACATTTTGTTTCCTCATTTTCTATACACGTCAGTCAGGCAACTTCATTTTCAAAGATAGAACTAAAATGCCCAAACATATCAACGTGTGTACATCATGAACACAAATTAACTTTTTAATCTACATGGCTTAAAGATAATCAGCACAGTTTCACAAATTCCCTTTTTGTAAATCATGCCACACCTTGTTCCCTTGTTATACACAGTAGATACATCATGGGGAATCAAATTCATTTTTTTTTTGCGAGCACAATACTGTTTAACTTCTGAGTTAACAAATCAGTACTTGGTACATAACCCTTTTCATCAAATAAAAAATATATTATTCTGACCAATTGTTATCTACAGAAAGAAATGCTCAAATAAAAACATTTTATTTGAATTGTGGAAGAATCGGCTTGAAACAGATAATAATAAAAAGCATAACAATAATAATTGAGAATAAAACCTTTTACACCAATCTATAACTAATAGGTCCAGTAAATTATATGATTAACTGTGGTTACCCTAATTAAACACAAACAAAAAGCTCATTTTAAATAGAAAACATAAAAACATTAATTACTGTAGGAGCAACAAACAACATTGATTAACATTTTTACTTTATGGCCTTTTAAAATAATTGTATCACATCACATGACCAAAGTTTTAGTTCATATATAATTTGCTTGACTTCAGTTTGGTGTATAGCAAAAAAAATGTTATTTGTGATCACAAATACAAAACGTTTTGGCTGTTGTAGTAAAATCATGGGTATTTTTAGAAGGGGGCTTCACTTAAGCGTATTTTTTTACGTAAAACGTGCTAGCTTTGTTTTGCTAATGTTTTGATTTAAACTACATGTAAACAGCAACATTTTGGCTCACCACGCACCTCCTTGTATCGCAGATAAGTTTAAAACTCCAGTAAGTTTGAGCCAAAATGGCGTTGTTTTGGCCGCACCCCGGGCAGTCCCTCACGCGCCCTGTTTGATGACGTCGCGCTGGGCGAAGCAGAAGACGCTCTTAGCAACAAGCTAAGAAACCACACATCCAAACGGGCACCATTACAGGACGGAACCCCCATCCAAAACACTCCGACGGTTTGACTGATACGTTTGCCAGTGTTCGAGTGCGACAATGAGTTGATTTAATCTCTTTGTTATTAACAATAAGAGCAGGTTAGTCCTCTACAACCCGGAAAAGGAGAGACGCTAGCCTGAGCTTTAGCTGCCCGCTGGACCGTGCGCTCGGGCTGGGATGAGTCTTCTGGTCAAACCGACAACACGACATTTAAGAGAGGGGAAGAGTGGAGGAGGACGACATCATTTTAATGTCTGGACTCAGTCTCACTTCGTTTTAGAGAGACGGAAAACGCTTTTGTGTTTTTTGCAACTTTGAGTCTTCATCATCCTCATCTTCGTCATCGAGGACGACTGCTTCTCACCCTCCATTATTTGTTGTTTTTATCCTGTGAATTTCTGCACTTCTAGCGTCATGCAGGAAATATAGTCGCATCTATTACTGCTTCTCCATGCTTGTAAATACAGGTGGTCAAAGTGATAAGCCTCACGAAAACAGCTTAAAGGGGATCATGGCTGAACCCTGCAGCACTGTGTAGTCGTCGTCAATCTAGCTTGTGGAGATCTGACAACAAGCTTCCCCACGGATATGAGACTTTGTTGATATCTTGCTAGTCTTGCTAGAAGGACTTCGCGTCGTTGATTTGGATGGATCTTGCTGTAGTGAAAGTATTTTTCAGAAGAAAAATAATTATTTGATGCTGATTGCATGCAACCATGATGATATTAAGCAGAAAACCAGATGGCCCCGTAACTGCAGGTAATTATATCCATATGAAATGTAATATCTAGCTATGTGAGTTTGCTGTGGCTGGTCTCGGTTGTCTTGACAATTTGAAGACAGTTGATTTATACTTTTATTTATGAATCCACAACCCTTCGGTTGTATCAGAAGTCCTGAGCTTGCAACCGCATCTTGTTTATTTATTTTTTAGCTGATGAAATTGTCACATGTACATCAGCAGTGAAAATGCACGGGACATTGGCTACAGTAGTCCCTACAGGCTTTATTATATCCATATTATCAGGTTATTGAGTTGACATCTCTGTAAGTTATTTTAATGGGAGGTGGTTAGCCAATATATTTGTAGCATGTGAGGGTTTGAATAGTTGCAAATATATAAAGTAAATATTGCTTTATTATATTAAGAGTAACAGTTATATTAACATTGACAGTGCACTTTTAAAAGGAGTTTACCCCCCCAAAAAATAAAACGTGCTTGCCCACACACTTGCCCAAATGATTTTTTTTCTCTATTGAACACAAAGGAAGTTATTTTGAAGAATGCTGGTAGAAATCGACATAATAAGGGGGGGAAATACTATGAAAGTTTTCTTCATATTATTCTGGGAAAAAAGCTATCTTTTATACAGAAAAGATTAAACCAAGTGAAGGGTAAATAAAAAATACAGAATTTTTGTTAGTTTTTTTCTTTTTAAGCTGCTTGGATTCATTATTTTCAAGAGAAAATCCACAAAGGAATTCAATTTCTTTTTTTAACTGCCTTATATTTTCAAAACATTTTATCTGAGCAAAAAAGAAAACGCATTTAGAAAAAAAAATGTTGTAGTTGATTCATACAAAGTCAAAAGGATCGCTTTCATTTTATTACGAAAAAAATAATTGCATAATCGTACAAAATCTCTTCCTTTGTAATTCACAATAGGTATAAAGTCATACAGGTTTGAAATGACAGTAGAATTGTCTTATAATTTACTCACCCTAATTTTTGGGTGCAACGTAACACCCTTAAGGCAAAAGTGGTCTAGGTCATTAAGAAGCTTAAATAACATAATCGGTCAGAGTTGTGGAAACTGCTGAAACTTAAATGAGTCATGAAGCCTGGTTTAATATGTAGCCACCTGCTGTGTAATGTGCTCAAGGAACTGTCTGTCGTCTCTCTCTCACACACACACACACACACACCTGCAACTTGGTTACATTCCTCCCTAAGGGGATTTGTGTTTCTCAGATGGGAACATTTTTTTTTTTTTCTGTCTTCCTTATGTTTGTGTAATAGAAAGTTTTGTTTGTGTACTGGGCGTATTGGACGATGAACCAATGTGTGTATTAATATTTTGCATATTGATTCACAGCCTAATCCCAAGTGTTTGTCTTTTTCCACAGCTCGCCACGGGGATGGTCTGTATGACTCCTACATGCGCACTGATCACATAGTGAACCAGGACGCTGATGTGAATGGACAGAGTCCCTCAGGACTGCCCCCTCTCCCCAAACACACTGTAAGTCCGACTTCCTGTTCCCCCAGAACAAATACCCAGAACCGTTTACTAGAGGTCATCCTCTCATAGCATTCTTTCAGTAAGCCCTTGATGAAAAAAAAATCTCGCATGAATTCCTACAGAACATCAATCAATTCTAAAGAACTAGCGAGCCTGAAAATCTGTCCTTTTTCTATCGCTGTTCCTCTAACTTAGTTTACTCTAATGGTCTTTCACCCATGTGGTTCCGAGTCTTAGTTTAGTCCATGTCCTGCTGCCATTTGTGCATCTTGGAACGTTGTGTATTTAGACAAGCCTTCCTCCCACATTCTGATAGTGGTACAAGTTCCATCTGCAACACACCAGTCTGTTTATTGTGCTTCCCAGCATGTGCATCACATGGAAAGGCTATATCACTTAATTTAATCAAATGTCTATTTTTATCACGAGCAAATGCATTAAAATGATATCAGGTGTTTAAACTGGGAAGATTAAAGCTCTTTGTAGATTACAGTATGATACATCATCATAGGACCGGAGATGGTAAAGGATATGATAATCCGATTCTCCACTGTACTATTATGCAATAAATAATTCGGTGTACGTGTTGGACCCGGTGACATTATTATTATATCTCATATAACCTAATCTCATATCACTTTTGCGATGAGGACTGGAGCTGTGTAATTGGCAAAACCCTCTTAATATAATTACTAGAAATTGGTATTTCTCAAAGGTTCAATAAACCATTTGGGATGGGGTGGCTATGATTTCCTGGCATTTGTGGAACAGGCAATTTTAGTAGATTCCAGTAGTTTTATTTGTTCTTTTAGCTTCTCATACAAAAGTCAATCTTGGCCATGTACTCTCCTTGTGGAGTCAACCAAGCTCTTTTTGTTGTGATTGAACAGCTGATGCATTTGGCTGGTCTCTACAGTATCCTTCAGCTCCCAACACACTGGTTTCTATTTTTGTCTCACTCCTTGGAACTGGGTTTCCATGCCCCTTCCCCCTCCAAAATGATTGGCATGGTTTACTTGGCACCTTATAATTTTATCTAAGTGACCTATTTTTTCTACAGTCTTGTTTTTTCTTCATTTACTGGATAAAGAACCAATCGGGCCATAGCTTGAGCTTAAATATAAATCTTTAATAGTGGAATCAAGAATGCAAACGTGACTTGGAGCAGACTTGGTGCATTAAACAGCCTGAATATGAAATGGTAGTTCCTCTATTCCCATTTACTCAGGAAAGCCCTCTGTGACTGCTGTAAACAACAGCTATTTATGACTTGCTTATTTTGTAAGGCTGAAGTTGAATGCATATTTAATGATATAGTTAGCAATTCCTCATCTGTGGTGAGAATTCTTTCCAATTGCTGCGCTGCGCTGTGAAGTCATACACCCTTTCTAAAAGTTTTTTTCTCATCACTTGTTTTCCCAGTCCATTGAAATGTATGCAGTATGTCTGATAGCAGATTTTAAAAATTAGACTCTTGCTTTATGTAGGTTTTTCCTGTATCCCCTGCGAGTAAGAAAGTAACGTCCTGTTCTACCAGTTTTCTGTTCACGTTCCAGTCAGACTACAGAGACAATGTCTGGCATTCTCTGTCGCCACAATTATCATTCAGGCATCAAACCTCCCCCTGGTTCCATGTTATTCCCAGGGTTACTAAGCAGCTGATCAATTCTGCACGTTTGTGCTATTGATTGTTTAACACTGGACTGATAAAACCTCAGGGATACAGTTCATTGATTTTTCAGTTGTATGCAGAAGCCAGAAGCGATAAGAGGAAGCCTCCCTTTGATTGTGAACATCCACTGAAAACATAACTTTTGCTTTTTTCAATCTCTAGTTTTCTCTTTAGCAACTTAACATTTTGACAAACTTAAAAATATTTCTTTTTTTTGTAGGGTGTCATCAAGCCTACAATGAAGGATCACCAAGCAATCCGGGGAGGACAGATGAAGGTGAAGTATGTTTACGAGGACTCCTACAACCGCAAACTCAATGGTGTGAGCCAGCACAATGGCACAAGCCAAGTACCAGCAAAGCCCCCACCTGCAATTTCCAAAGAGAGAAGCGTGGACAGCAACAGCTCTGTGAAATCCTCAGAGAGCTCAACAAAAGTCACAAAGCTGGGCAGCCCAATGACCCCAGAACAAGCTCTCAAGCAACACCGGCAGCAAATGACTACCTTGGAGCAGCAGGAGATCCACAACTATTCTGAGATCTACTTCCTGGGACCAAATGCCAAGAAAAGGCAGGCAGTAGCAGGCGGCACTAACAACAGTGGATATGATGATGACCAGGGGGGATACATCCACGTACCTCATGACCACCTTGCCTATCGCTATGAGTTCCTCAAGGTGATTGGCAAAGGTAGTTTTGGACAAGTGGCAAAGGTTTACGACCACAAGTTGCAGCAGCATGTCGCCCTGAAGATTGTGCGCAATGAGAAGCGCTTCCATCGGCAAGCTGCTGAGGAGATCCGAATTCTGGAGCACCTGAAGAAGCAAGACAAGACAGGCAGCATGAACGTAGTTCACATGTTGGAAAATTTTACCTTCCGCAATCACATATGCATGACTTTTGAGCTGCTCAGTATGAATCTGTACGAGCTCATCAAACGCAACAAGTTCCAGGGTTTCAGTCTTCCGCTGGTACGCAAGTTTGCGCACTCTATTCTCCAATGCTTGGAAGCTCTCCATCGCCATAAGATCATCCACTGTGACCTAAAACCAGAGAATATCTTGCTGAAGCAGCAAGGCAGAAGTGGGATAAAAGTCATCGACTTTGGTTCCAGCTGTTTTGATCACCAGCGTGTTTACACGTACATTCAATCTCGGTTCTACCGAGCACCTGAAGTCATCTTGGGATCGCGATATGGTATGCCTATAGACATGTGGAGCTTTGGTTGCATTCTGGCAGAGCTTCTTACCGGATACCCATTGTTTCCGGGTGAGGATGAAGGCGACCAGCTGGCTTGCATGATGGAGCTATTGGGTATGCCACCTTCGAAACTCCTGGAACAAGCCAAGCGTGCCAAGAACTTCATCAGCTCCAAAGGCCATCCACGCTACTGCACAGTTAGCACACTTAGCAATGGCACTATAGTTCTCAATGGGAGCCGTTCTCGCAGAGGAAAAATGCGAGGTGCCCCTGGGAGCAAGGAATGGGGAACGGCCCTCAAGGGCTGTGAGGATGCCACATTCATTGACTTTCTGAAGAAATGTCTGGATTGGGACCCTAGTACTCGTATGACACCAGTTCAGGCTTTAAGACATCCATGGCTCTACAAGAGACTGCCCAAGCCTGCACCTGGTGGTGAGAAGACTGTGCTACCCAAACGGATCTCAGAGCACAGCACCTCCTTTCCTACCATCATCTCCAAGGTACCCCCCGTCATGGGCTCAACCAACAACAAACTGCGGACCACCATGATGGGGGACTCCACTGGAAGTATACCTTTTCGCACAGTGCTGCCGAAGCTTGTTTCATAGAGATTCCTTAGCTTTTCAGGGATAAAGACATATTTGTAGCAGTTTATAGAAGTGGATTTTTTTTTTTGTGTTGGTTGGTTCATTTTCTAAAAGAGTGTCAACTCACCATTTGGATTTTCAATGAAGTGTAACAAACAAACAATTTTTTACAAATATACTGTTTTTATCAAATGGCCTTCAAAGTGTGAAATTCAGGGCTATTTTTTTACACTTTGCTTTCGAATCGAGTGCTGTTGATTGAGGTGGGTGAATTTATGATGCTGACTGCCCCTTGTCCTGTCCTTTTTGAAGTTTTCACAGCTTCTGTTCAGACAATTACAACTTTAGCATCTCTAAGGGCTGTTTTGTGAGTTTGTGACATACTTTATAAGGGCTTAGAATGAGTTTTTGAATTCACTTACAGCAGACTCTGATCCTTAATTAAAAAATAAGTCGGTTTGAAGCTCATGTCAAAATTGATTTTGATATAATTCAGATGAGCATGTTTCTAATTTAATTTTATTTTAATGTTATCCTCCTTAGTCACTTGCGTCCCAGCAAGAGGTCAAACTCTTTGTTGTTGTCCACAAATGTTATGTTTTTGAGAAGTTGAGCATTTTGATAAGTTGTTCTAGAACAAGATTTGAGAAAGTTAAATTTTGAACATGGTAGTCCCAATTCCTGGGAAAAATCGGCACTGTTCCACGGTTGTTGTAGGAGCCTGTTTTTATCAGTGCTATTTTGAAAAGTCTTGGTCAGGTTTCGCCTGAAGGCAGTAGGCATCACATGTTTGTCTGTACATGGTAGTATACATTTCCTCGAAGCTCATGAAACACTCCAGTGTTTGCTCTGGGTGATGATAGATACCAAACAGCTAGCATGAGGATTTTTTAAACATGATCAGAGTAGTAGATACCAAAGGGTGGTTGATGTGCATCATCTGGGATTCAGTTTGTACGACGATATAGTGTTTAGTTGTTGCTTTGTTTGCAACCGCAGCAACTATTCTTGTCATTTATTTGTATGAGGGAAGATAGAGGAAAGAGATAATGCAGGGTAAATTCCCCTCCCCCAAAGCTCACCATCAGGACACAGAGTAGTTGATTTCCAGTGACTCTGGTTGATTGTGTAGCCTGGAATATCTCTTTATAGTGACCTATTTTGTTCCCTTTCGCTCTGAGGTTTACAGGAGGTTCCTGCTTTTTATACAGTCAAGCATGCAGCACGTTCACCCACCCTCAATGGCGCTAACCAGGGTCTGCACTTTGAGTATTTGTCCATGTGAACCTTTTAGGACAAGCAATATATGCATTTGGTTGTTTGAAAAGTTGTCGTATGATCTAATGTATGTTTATTGACACTGCCTCACTCTTTCTAGCTGTGAATTGAGCACTGAATGCTTAGAAGCTAATTGTTTTAAGGTAAGACATTAATCTGCTGAAGGACTGTGAAAATGAACAGCGCTTAACCCATTGGCCCTGACAGGTGTGTGTGCAAAGCATCTGTGCACTACCTGGACTAAGGTAAGAATGAGGATACCATGACAAGTCATTGGAAAAACATCACGTCTTTTCACAACTCTTTCTCAGGTTCAAACTCCTTTTGAGGGTTTAATGGACATTTATTTATGATTCCACACACCTAAAGGGTAGAAAGATGATCTAGAGTTCAAGTTTCATAAAAATCAAATGGCTTTATAGATGTTGGTGCTCAAATTAGGACTATAAACTCCAGGTCTCCATTAGTTTCCAATAATAGTCTTTTCTTTGATTTCATATTCTCCCAGTTCAGTTGTCTATTTCAGGGAAAGTGTCCTGGTGAAAGTGGTTTAGTGTTGTTTCTACCTCTTTCTTGCTTGTTAAATCCATCTTGTATGCTCTGGAGAGATCTCTACTACACAAATAGCAGCATCTCGCTACACCGCTTTCTACTTTGCTTCAGTGTTCATGCCTGTTTGCATCATCATGAATTTTTCACCAAAGCACCCGTTCACTTGGCTGTCTCTCTATTTTTCGTCTCGCTGCGTGAACCCCTCGGTTCATGGGAATCTAGTCTTGTGCCTTTTAACTGAATACACTTGACTAAATCATCAAGGCTCAGCACGGGATGACTAATGTTTCTCTTCCAGCTTTAATGGTCAGGGTTTTTATATTGCTTTTATTTCACCCTTTTATAGAGTTTTTACTGTTACTCGTATTTTAAAGAGAAGTGAAAGAGGTAATGATGTCATTTTTCTATATGTTGACTGTTGGCCATGTGGTTCAGAGCATGATAATCACAGGACGCATGAAAATAAGCGATAAAGTGCAAGGGGGGAAAACGAGAAGATTTAAGTAACTAAGTTTGTGTGAAAGTAACCAAATGATCTTGTATTAGTTTCTTTTTTTTTAAAAAGAGAAATAAAAAAATGGATTCACTATTGAGTTGTGTGAAATTTGTCTGGTTTTACGTTTTCACTGACATTAAAGTTTTAGGAGTGATCCGTCCTTCTAAAGTAGGCATGAATCATGCCTCCATAGAGTAGAATGATTTCTCAGTGTTATTCCACATCAAAAACCGAATGCAACAAACTGAAAGGGTCTTGAACACACCTGTGAAATATAATATGGCTTTATGCAAGAATGCATTTTAAAACATTACTGGAATTGTTTTTGCTCATTGTTTGCATTCTTAAGTTATTATTCAAGTGTTCTAGAAGTGGAAATCACACTCTGTTGTTCATTTAACTGTGTAGTCTTGAACTTTTCAAGAGTCAGTTTGTGTCTCCTCTGGTTTGGAGTTGTAATACACAAACTTTGGTAACCTTTCTTTTATTCGCAATCAATCAGTATTAAAACAAATGGGTGTCTTATGTATGTTTCTGGCTGCTGGTCTGTACCAGCATGAGATATAAAATCAAATCAGTGAAAAAAACAGGCAGACAGGCGGCTTCTGTGAGGTAATCTAATTCATGTGGAATTGGTTATGTTGTTTTCAGTAGCACTTCTTTAGGACTTCTAATACTTTTTTTTCTCTTTATACTTTTTATAATCCTCATGAAACTTCAATTATAGTTCCAATTGGAAATACTGACTTCACACTTTATAGAATATCCCATATTCAAAAGTAGGTCATTGGGTAGATTGATATGGAGACACAACAGGATACTTAAAAACAGTCACAGACAGGAGGTCTGGAGATAATCAAAACTGAGCTCTGATCCTCCATGATGCATAAAGTCAAGTGTCTTCTATAATCTGTGTTACCCAGCCTCACTGAAACTTGTTGAAACTCTAAACGCAGCTTTAGAGAAGGCAAACCGGTCGGTTGCTGTTTGCATATGATGAGATCATAAACTTACCACAATATTTACATGTTCCAAATGGGCGTTTCTTCCCATTGGAACAACGTCATGAAACAGTTGGTGAGGTAGATTGGTTTTGAAGATCTTATTTTGTAATGGCAAAAATACCCATTTTAATGCAATCATTTGCACCGGTGATGTCTAGACCAGTGGTGTCCAAACTCGATCCTGGAGGGGTGATGTCCTGCTGAGTTTAGCTCTAACTTGCTTCAACACACCTGCCAGGAAGTGTCTAGTACAAGCGTGTCCAAACTCGGTCTGGAGTCCTGAAGAGTTTTGCTCCAACCCTAATCAAAAACACCTGAACCGGCTAATCAAGCTCCTACAACATATACTAGAAACTTCCTCACAGGTGTGTTGAAGCAAGTTGGACCTAAACTCAGCAGGACACCAGCCCTCCGGGACTGAGTTGGGACACCCCTGTTCTAGTATATCAAGTAAGCTTATTATCTGGTTCAGGTGTTTGATTAGAGTTGGAGCTAAACTTTGCTGGACAACTGGAGTTTGGACACTTGTGGTCTAGACCTAAAATAAGCAATATTTTTCAGAAGAATTCATATTATGAATCAACCCTTCATCTTTCTTCCACTTTTGAATTTTCTGAATAAGCTAAAATCTTATAGTCTGGTGTCTTTTGTAGACCCTTCTGATGAAATCCTAATGTTTTTTTTATACAACCATTGGTTCATTTGTATAATAAGTTACCCGTGCTCATGTTTAGCAGATATTTTCATGGCATCCATTGTGTACAGGTGTGCATCATAGATACGACGACCATTTTGTATGAACAGAAGAGCAAGAAATGTTTACACTAAGCATTTCAATGTTCAGCTGTTTTGTGTAAGCTAAAAACACTACATGTGCTAAAGCTAACAACAACAACAACTGATAACCTGTGTGATTGTTCTGGCTTTAAAACTGAGAATGCTTCAGAGTACAAACTAAACTATATTCACTATATTAGTGAATATAGTCTACACTATATTCAACCTTTTTGTATGCTAGACATCCATGTAGGAACAGCAGAGACACGCAATGTTCATATGGGATTAATCAGAGCAGGTGTGTGACTATAAAAGCCTGTCTAGGGCAAGTCCTGACCGCCTCTTTGCCAGTCTTCAACATGTCCAAACAGGCTCAGAACAACAGTGCGTCAAGGTAGGCACTCGTACCTCATCAATCTCATTGAGATTTAGGGACAACGTGGTTGATTTAGCCTCATAAAACTGTCCTCTTAGTGGAGAGCAGATTAAGTCAATCCCATTAAGGATCCAACACACTGAACGCATAACCCATATGGACTCATTGCTGGACAATGTAGCCTGGTCCAAGTAGATGCATCCTCCCTCCCTTCACCCTTTTGCGTCAGGGACAGTCTTCCAGGCTGAAGGTTTTACAAAGACTTAGTCCTGTGGCCATATGGAGCCTTCCATGGGGGATTGCAGACCAGCCGTTGAAGTTGTGTGTGACCATCCATTAGTTTAAAAAAGAATTGATGAGGATACGGAGTGATTTTTAGTTTGTTTTTATGCAGTTTAAAGGCTTTGTTGTTTTCTGAGACTTGTAAAAAGTACTGAGCAAGTTTACTTTTAATATGAAGAAGTTGGAAACTTATAGTTACCTTGTGCTGTGGTCTTTAACCAGCTGGCTCCAAACTGGTTTCATATACTGGTATATATCGTTTCAGCATCGACATTGCAATATGTGCACCCACAATAGTCACATTGCAAGATATACAACGATGAGTCTGAATTATAGTTGACCAGGAGCTACAGAATAGTATTTAATTACTGTATTTATACTTGTTTCTAGTCCAAATATCTACATTTCAAAGCAAAAAAAAAAAAAA